TTGCTGGAATCAAATGAGGATTTTTGAAACTGTCTTATTAGGCTTAATTTTAGCCTGACATGTAAATAAGCAAACATATTTCAATTCTACCATTACTCCAGACTGCTTTTGACTAAGTATTGTAATGCGCTACCTGACTTCTTCTTTTTACCCAAAATCTCTGTTAGTATTTCTCCTTATCCTAGCACTGGGTTTACTGGTTGGTGGATTTTTCTCTCTCTAATTCTTTTTTAGCCACCCCTACTTCACTTGTATAAACATCATGTTTGATCCTATGTGGACTAAATGAATTTCATCATGAAGGAGTTTAATACTAAACTTTAAGGAAAAGATTGGTCTTGTGAATAAAATATAAACTTGAGTCACTCAAGACTTGCATTTAATTTTTCTTCTCTTTTACCTCAGTTAGTTGTGACTCAAAGTAATTTTATCCTCTTTCAGTTCTCCATCAATCAATATAAAAATATAAAATTATACTTTTTTTTCCTTACTCCTTTTGTTTGCAGTAGCTTGATCTCAAGTTAATAGTGAAAAACATTTCATTTGTAATTAAAATAAATTAAACTGGAAAAAGAGCGTAGTTTGGACCCCTACATTCCTCTCTGTGCAGCACATAGTGTTAAAAATAATTTTTAAAAGTTATTGTCTCATTTATGTTGTCAAAGCTTAGACTTGTGATGTTCTCTAAGTTTGCCATTTAATTAAAATTCAACTTGAATGAAAACCTACTCAGTTAAAAATTAACACTTTTTTCCCAAGTGTCTCAAACTGTCAGTCTTCTTGCATGTTACTTATTTAATATTTTATGATATTTTTTCGATGAATATTTTCAGCCTGTGCTACAGCTAGGAAACTGTTGCATCTACTAGTAATTACAGAGTTGTGCTGCGACTTTACCTTTATGATATGGTCAGCTAATCATCATGATGAGACTGAAAGGGCACAGACATGCTTAAATGCTCTTACAGTTTCTGTGAGAAAAGAGTTATGGAGAGGTACTAGTTGAGAAGGTTCTAATAGGTTCAATTACCCAGTTACAGGAGTACAGGACAAAGAAAATGATGAAACCAATAAATCAGTGCAAGAACAGCAGATGAAACATGATTATAAACAGTAGTATCTTTCCGAAGTTCCTGCAATAGTGGCACAGAAACCATCTGTGACTACGGACTTGCACCTGTAAATTAAATCTAACCTTCAGAGATTCTAATTGTGTAGCTGGGAAAGGAGGAATTAATCGGCAAAGTAATTATTAAAAGCATTCTTAATTTTGATGCCACAGTAAGGAAGGATTTTTCATTTTTGTGAATGCAGAACATGCTATAACTCGCACCCTGTGCTGACTTCTGAACACTGAAAAGGAGCCTTGAAGCTAACAGTCTTACACATTAGAGATAAAACTGTGCATAAACCTTTGTAGCTTTTTCTGTTATAGAGATACCTGTTATTCCACAATTAAGTTGCAGTGCAAAATGAGATCATATCGGTGAACATATGAAACTGACTAATCAGTATAAGACTTACTTTCATTAGGTTTTTAAATTTATTTTTTCCAATGCATTTAATAGAAAATCTTAAACTAAGGCTCTGGCTATAATTTTCCCTTGACCTTCATCAACTATTATCTTGTTTAAAGTATTGTCCAGCTACACTGGATTTGGCAGAGAGGTCCTTAGGAGGACTTTTCAACTATTTCAGGAGTAGTCACTGTATTTGTCCCTTGTATAGTTGTACTTGTTTAAATACAGTTAACAGAAGGGGCAGCATAGGTCAAGACGTGGGGTGAATAACACAAGATAACTGGGCTCAATTTAAGTAAGGAACTCTGCAGCCATGAAGTGCTGAAGTACATACCATGTCAACCACCACTAATGTGAATAACATGGAGATCTCTTTTGTCCCCATAGGGAATCTGGGCATACCACATTTTTCAGTCATATTTTATGCAACAGCACAGAAAGGCTTATGCACAGCTTTCTGAAAGATGAAATATTTCCTTGTCCTAGTTGTACTCACTGCAGGTCAGCTTTCCTTTATTCAGTATCTGTTCCCAGTCAAGCTTCAAAAATGACTCCAAGGAGTCCTAAAAGGACTCGGGTGTTACGGGGCTTGTTCTGCACACAGTCTGCTTGACAAAGCCTTGAGGAAATTAAAGGAGCTAATAATATAAACCACTTAATGATAACTTATCCTTTGTATCTTCACCTGTGCGTGTGCATTGTGCCATTAACAGACTGATCTTACACTAAGACTATACCTTGCAAACCAAATCCCTTCCAGATTATACCTTGCTTGCCTGTCTCTATTCTCCTGCATAACTAAGTACCTCTGTAATTACCTTCACTGGTGAACCTGCAAGTGTGTGAGTTTCTCTGTTTGCAAACTAATGTTACTTTTTTTCCCATTTAAAACAGTATATAAAACCTTAGGTTAAGTGTAAGTGGAAAGACAGTTAAATTCAGACATTGATAAAGACCACTCCAGACTTTTGACCTTGCTTTGTCTCAACTGGCTTGAGAGAGAGGGAAATTTCATCTGCTTTTAAAAATTTGAATAGCATAACAAAAAGTAGATGAAAAGAAATGAGCAAAGAAATACAACATGGCTGATCACACTCCTTGTCAAATAAGCTGGACTGTACTATGTACCAATGAACCATAAAGCAGAATCTGAAAACACTTTATGTTTTGAACAAAAGACTTCCAGAAGTAGTCACTTAGTAAAAAATCTAAATCAAGAACACATTTCTACATTTTCCCTAGAAACTACAGTGTGTTTCAGGGGTGCTTTCACCATTATTAAATTTGAGTAGGAAAAAAACAGTTCATTAAAATTTTTGAATTTACCTTTAAGACCTGTGTGCCTTTTATGTTGTTAATTTCCATGAATATACCCCACTGAATTATCAAAAATGAGGAATGTTAAGTAATATGTAAAGAATTGACTTCAAATAAGAGCAGTACCACAATCATATTCCCAAACAACATCAACATTTCTGCACTAAAATATCACAAAATTGTCCAATGACGCAGTTTAAATTATAAATACATTTCTGAAAAAAATATCAGCACTTCATAAACAAGCCATGAATAGGAAAAAGAATAGAAGTTTCTCAAATAAATTATTCATTATAACTTATTCTCTCCTTGGTTTGGATATAATATACTGAAAAGTTTTCCAAAGGTTAATAGAAAAGTAGGCCCAGAAACAAATAGAAATTGAAAAACATTTTCTTTTTAAACTAAAAGCGTGCAGAGTCTATTTAAGTGACTAATAAGATAACCATCTACCCTGACAGCTCAAATATCCTACCAAGCCTTTAAATTTCAGTTCTCTCCTAAGCAACAAATATTTCATGGGCTGCTACAAACCATCAAAGTCATTTAGATCACCTGCAGAACAGCTCCAGACCTGTGCTGCATTTGAAGGAAAAAAAACCCCTCTGCATCCTGTTTCTTATAAGTTATTTAGGACTTTTCTTTACGTCTAAAAATATCTGCATAGAAATAGATGTTTCCCGGTTAAAGGCATTGACAAGATTTTTGGTTCGGTTACATATGTTTGCTTTGTGTATATGCACAGTTCTAAGGTGCCCTTTAATTTTGCACGTCTGCCTAAATATTTCTGTGTCAGTCCCATTTCAACATCATCAGGAATTGGTTAGTTCTTGGATGTTAATGACAAATACTATCTTCCTGTGAACCGCTCTCTCAGCCTGGCAGGCCATGGGAGGAGAGGCTGCAGGCCATGGCCTACAGTACCTAGTAACACCTGTGTGCTAGGCCCCCTTGCCCTCTCTCTGATTTGTCTTCCCACAAGGCAGGGACCGTGTTAGACCTCTCAGGCAATTAACTTTTGTTGCTTGAAAACCTTTTCTGTCCTCTTTCACCAGCTGTTTCTCCAGGTCAAGTTTGTGGTGTTTTTCTGGTTTATTTGGGATTTTGGAGGGGGGCGGTTCTTTTATAAATATTGACCAAAGCTGTATGCTTTCCCAGTACTTTGCTCACCTGGAGCATGGGAGCAGAGAGCTATGGCAGAGAGCCTGGGCTGTGAAGGTCTGATGGCTTCAGCAGTCAAAAAGCTTACTTTGACAGAGATGTAAGCTGACTAAAATTTTACCAATGGTTGTGAAGTCAAATCATGGTAGACAGCTTTCTCCACTGCTGAAAATGCAACTGCTGGTTCTCCCAGAATTCAAGGTCAACTCACTCCTGCCAGTCCAAACTTTCCCAGGACCCGGACTTCTGAGCGACCAGGAGAGAAGTATCAACAGTGTTGACATCAGGAAAGCTACTGCTTTTGTCTTTTTCCTCAGACAAAATATCACACAAGAAAACTTGACATTTCAGTTGGGCTTCCTCAAACTTGTTGCTGTAGTTCCTCTCCCTTCCCCAGTGCCTTTGGTCAGCCGATGACCGAACCCATGGGAAAGAGACAGTTCAAGTATCAATGTCCACAATGTCCCATGTAAACAGGCAGCAACACAATGTTCAGGTGCAAAACAAGCCCAATTTCCATCTGTGAGGTCTTACATAGATGACTGGTAGAGTCATCCATATTAGGTGGAGTTATTCATATGGGATAAACTCACCTATGTGATACAGAGAAAAGCTGATCT